CCCCCCAAGCGAAGGTTTTTCCTTCCTATATATAGTCATGGGACCTTTGCTATTTGCTTGGTCTGACTTTCCCACATTATCTATCTTGGTCGTCCCCTGGACGTTGTTCCTTCTGACTCGATGGATGTCGTGAGTGCGGGATGTAGAATGGACCATGTCGTCTTTTGATACCCTATCTCTTGGACGGGATGTTGGTCAGCTTGACCACAATGGTCAGATTTTGACCAATACAGTTAGTCCCTCCGTTTGTCAGGGTCATCCTCTATCGGGCCAGACAGACGGATCATGATTGCTACAAATTGGAGAGAAATCTGACTACTTATCCCTCGGTTATGCTCCTTACGTTTTGAGTGAGGTGACGACGCTATTTCAATATCCTTGGACCGTTGCGGCAGTTTCGGAATCGAAACGTCCTTTGGATTGAAACGTTGTTTCGTGGTTGCCGCCATTATGACACACGTTCCTAGGGAATCGAAACGTTTCTTTCCCTATCAGATTCGATTGGTGACTCTTGGGTTTCGTGCTTGGGGAATTTATGTCTCTTATAAATAGAAGGAACACATCATTCGATTGACACACTTCTTTTCCCTTTGCTTGAAAGAGTTTTGCGAATATACTTTCTTCCTGATACTCCGAATTTTTATTCACCCCAGTTGACCGAAAACTTTCATCCTTCCTTTCCATTATCTTTTTGCTGCACCATCTTGACGAAATGGCTGGTGATTCTTCTCACGCTGATCCCCCTGCCGCGATTCTGGCGCCGGAAAATGTAGCTTTGTCCACCGGAGGAGTAGAAGTGGTGGAAGATGAGGAGGTCCCATCGGTAACCGAGATCTTGCCTCGTCCTGAGAGACAATGGACCGACTTCTGCAGTCGCACCGGGGTGGAGCCGGAACCTGTCCCCTTTGTTATAAAAAAGGAAGCCATTGCAGAGTTGAAAGCTAGGCGTGGAATCCCTAGTTACGTTGACATGCAGCCGGCGGTAGGGAACGACATAGTCCATTTCGATCGCCCTGGGTACTACGTGTTTTATGTCTACCCCTTTCTTATTGGGTACACACTTCCTCTCCCTCTCCTCGTGGTAGATTTCCGCCGTTTTTACGAGGTATGTCCGCCCAACTTTCGCCGTACCTGTACAAGCTGTTCCTTATATTGCTCAAGTTTGCGGAACTCGCCGATCGTAATATCTCTTTGGATCACATGCTTAATATCTTCGCCCCTCAACTCATTCGCGGAACGATGACTCACATGCATCCTCGGGGGTCGAAGAGTCTGGTGGTGAAAATGGACGATAGGGCCAACCGTCGTTTCTACGAGAATTATTTCTATCTGCGGATCGAGCACATTGTTAAAATATCTAAAGTTATTGAATCCCCTTCACAAGAAGAATATCTAAACTATTGGAGTAAAGGAGATTTAAAATTGTTTGACTCAAAAGATATTGAAATCTTTTTGAACAAATCAATCAAAGAAATTGAATGGGTAAATCTTAGTCAAACATAATAAATTCTAGATCAATGAGCTAGTTGAACAAATAGTACATAAGATGAAATAGAGGTAACCGATCTTATTGAAACTTTCATTGTGACTCCCATTAATCAATGGGGGAGGTGGTTTTACATGTTTTTTCTGGAGATTGCTTCATTCTTCCTTTTTATTATGAAGGTTGAAGAGGAGAGAAATAAGGAGAAAGGGAGAAGCCCCTAAAGAAAACCCCCAGGTTTTTCTTTCCTATATATAGTCACGAGACCTTTGCTATTTGCTTGGTCTGACTCTCCCACATTATCTATCTTGGTCGTCCTCTTGACATTGTTCCTTCTGACTCGACGGATGTCATGACTGCGGGATGTAGAATGGACCATGTCGTCTTTCGATACCCTGTCTTTTGGACGAGATGTTGGTCAGCTTGACCGCAGTGGTCAGATTTTGACCAATACAAAAATTACTTTAGATCATCGATCTAAATTCCAAATGTTATATCCTAATATTTTTTTTTGTATTTTCTTGTATAAATTGCAGGTTCCACCACTGTAGATAAAAATTAAGCTCGTAAGAGGTGACTGGAGGACATTTGTGGTATTTCAATAAGTTGCGACGTACGAAGCGCTATTGCCGTGGTAAGTACGTTAATGCAAAAACCAGTAATCTCTTTGTTTATATTTTTATTTTGTTGTTCAAAACTAAAAATAACATTGGAACTGATTTATTAACTCATATACATATAAAATTTGAAGTTTCTATATCCATTGCGTTTCACACTGGATTATTTATATTCCTTCTAGAAGTAGTGCTTGTTTTTATATAATAATCTGATTATTTTTGTTTTGAAGAAATACAATTTTCATTAATGAATCCTAACATTACCACTTTAGTATTTTATCCTTTTGTATTATTGTACGTATATACAGTCAAAATCATATGCCTCCGACTTATAGACTCGACGGTCCGTCCTAAGCCTAAGTCCGGACGAGGTTGAGTTCGAGCCCAATGGACTAGACTCGAGATCGAAGATAGAATGCAATGCGCGGAGATAGGAGTACGAGGAGTACCGAAGCTGAGTATGCTCGACCCCGAAATTATACAGTTATGGATCTGTAACAGAATGAGCTAGATTCCTCCCACGTCCCCAAGATCATGGCGCAAATCCCGGAAGAATATTCCTTACTGTAAATAGAACTATACCTTATTTAGGGTTCCCCTATTATATAAAGGGGACCCCAATCATTTGTAAGATCATCTAATTATTGAGCAAAAAATATACTCTCTACTTTCTTGCCTACTGTTCATCAGAATTGTCTTTTATCTCTATTGTTATTACTTTACTTTTCTTGCTTAATTGTTCTTATTGTTCTAAACCCACCTCGAGGTCACTACTGCTGAGTAACATTGGTTTGATTCAATTATTTCTTTCATTTCTACTTCATATTTCTTGATTATCAATTGGTACTGAACTAAATCACATATCTTTAAAACCACTAATCAAGTTTAATTGTTACTCGTATTTTCGAGGTAAACAGTTTGGCGCCCACCGTGGGGCTAAAGATAATAGTGATTATTTCTTTACTGATTCTCATTACACACGTTGTTTTTACACTTTTTCTTGTCAAGATTTTTTTATTCTTAGGCTGAAACATGTCTAGCTCACAAAACGCACATGTTCACGACAACAAAGGTCTTGGAGAAAACAACAATGCAGGGGTCGGTGTACCACCGATAAACCCAGGGGAAGTGCCAAATATGGAATCAGTTGATGTTAGATCACACATTGCTCTAAACGTGGATTTAGGCATAGATCCTGAGGAAATGTATGCAGGGAAGCCCGATCTGGTGGCCAAGGAACACAAGGAATGGGAGATGAGGGAATCAACCTCCAAGTGATATTCGAGATACTGCAAGCTCAGCAAATCACTATCGCTCAACTTCAAAGTCAGAATAAGACTCCGAGCGTAGCTGAACATGAAAACACTGACGTCGAACGGAAATGACTCGGGGAATGACCCCACCATTATGAGGATGCTCGAAGAGCTCACCAAGAGGATCGAATCCAGAGAAAAGAAGATTGAAGACAATGACAAAAAAGTGGAAACTTACATCTCTCGTGTTGATCAAATACCGGTGCACCTCTAGTTTTAAAAAGTTTAGATGCCAAGAAGTTTATACAAAAACCATTCCCTTAGAGCACAGCTCTGATGTCTATACCTAAAACGTTTCGCATGCTTGATATATCTAAGTATAACGGGACAATCGACCCTAACGAGCATATTGCTTCATACACTTGCGGGATCAAAGGGAATGGCTTGAACGACGATGAGATCGAATTAGTTTTGTTGAAAAGGTTTGGAGAAACACTATCGAAGGGAGCCATGATTTGGTACCATAACTTGCCTTATAACTCTATTTATTCGTTTGCTTTGTTAGCAGACGCCTTCGTGAAGGCACACGCCGGGGCCATAAAGGTGACCACGAGAAAATCGGACGTCTTCAAGATAAAACGGAGGAACAAAGAGATGTTGAGGGAGTTTGTGTCTATGTTTCAGATGGAACGAATGGAATTACCACCGGTTTCGGATGACTGGGTAGTACAAGTTTTTATGCAGGGTTTGAATGAAAGGAGCTCGATTGCATCTCAACAATTAAAATAGAACGTGATCGAGTACCCAGCTGTGACATGGTCGGATGTGCACAACTGTTACCAATCAAAAATCAGGGTCGAGGACGACCAGTTGGGAACTCCCTCGGGTTCAGTTCATTCTAACAGGTTCGCAGCCAATCCCCCGAGGGATGCATACAGGGAATCGAGATCGAACAAGGAACAGTATTAGCCATACGTCGAGTGGACAAACAACGGCTCGAGACGTAACACCCCTCGAAATGATCGGAGAAACGATCAAGGCCAAAGTTCTCGAGGACTCATGAGTAAGAGCGGATTCGATAAGCATACCGACCCCATAGAGGCACCTCGATTGTCAGAATATAATTTCAGCATAGATGCATCAGGGATCGTGTTAGCTATTGGTAGAATCAAAGACATCAGGTGGCCCAGGCCCATACAAACAAATCCTTCTCAAAGTAACCCAAACTTGATGTGCAAATATCATGGCACGCATGGCCATAAAACCGAAGATTGCAGGCAGCTCATGGAGGAAGTGACTCGGTTGTTCAACGAAGGTCACCTTCGAGAATTCCTCAGTGATCGAGCCAAAAATCACTTCATGGAGAGAGATGCAAGGAAAAATGAGCAAGAAGAACCACAACATGTAATCCACATGATCATTGGTGGAGTAGATGTCCCTCAACGACCTGTATTCAAACGCACCAAACTATCAATCACTAGAAAAAAAGACTCAGAGCTATGTGCCCGAGGACGCCTTATCGTTCTATGATGAAGAAGCAAAAAGCATATCACAGCCACACAACGACGCCCGGGTAATTTTATCCTTTTAAATAAAATTCAAGTTAAACGTGTTTTAGTGGATCTAGGTAGCTCAACAAACATAATCAGATCGAGGGTCATAGAACAGCTCGGCCTACAAGATTAGATTGTACCTGCATCCCAGGTCCTAAATGGTTTCAACATGGCAAGTGAAACAACAAAGGGAGAGATTATCCTGCTAGTAAACGTAGCCGAGGCCATACAAGATACTAAATTCCATGTCATTGAATATGACATGAGATATAACGCACTCCTCGGAAGACCATGGATACACAACATGAGGGCAGTGCCTTCGACTCTTCACCAGATGATGAAGTTCCCAAAAGAGGTAGGATTAAAAACATTCTACGGAGAGCAACATGTTGCGAAGGAGATGTTTGCAATCGAGGAAGTGGTACCGATACCGGATCCTTTGACCTCGGAGAAATCGAGCATCGAAGGTAAACATGCGGCCAAATAGCAATCACCGCCTCCAGCCTCGACGGAATTGGAGCAACAGTCAATCGAAGATGAAGA